TATATATATATATATATATATATATATATGATAAACTTTTAAAAATCAACAGCAGAACACAGGAGATCTGCCCTCCCTGTGGGTAAAGGTCCACACCCGTCAAATATAAATGCTGCTTCATGTCTGCAGACATGCTGTTTTAGGTGAAATGAGCTTTATGTAAGTTAAAAACGAGGATATGAATTTTAAAGGATTCAGGTGGTGGTTGTGGTAAAGTGTTTCACCTTTACATAAAAATAAGATTTTATTGAAAAGTTTCACTGAATTTAAAAAACTTTTTGTTCCCTGTTGTCTTTGTTATTTTATAGGAGCAGCATTTGACTTTTTTCACAGACTCACTCTTTCATATTTTTCATGACAATCCCTTAAACCATCTTCCTTCAAACTAATCAAAGTTATGTTTGTTACATTTGATCTCCTCCTTAAAGAAGCAGCTCTGTCAGCTTCTCATCAAAGTTTCTGCTTGTTCTTAAGATCAAGAAAAAACGCTTTAAATGTTGTATATTATACAGTATTTTTCTGAAAGCAGCTGAAGTCATTTCACAGAGTTTTTAATAAAATGTTAGCGTTCATGCTTCACGAGAGGAATCCTGAAACTTTCAGGTTCCAACTGACCCACTTGTTATTCACACATTTCTTCTGAAACATACTCACGATCTGTTTTAGCATATCCATGCCCCCCGCAACCCTCCCTCATTACCCCCCCCCCCACACACACACACACAATAAGCCTGAGCAAAGCCAAGGATCAAAACTGAACGAGATCACACTTCTGCTCCTCTGTCCTCTCCCTGATTCTGTTGTCTCCATTATGAACCTTCTCACCCACCACCCCCACCGGCTCTGTTACACCCCAACGACACACTCCCACACACACGGTCACACCCTCATGTAGCACCTAGTTCTTTATGAAGCTCAAAGTGAGCCAGATGTGAGCAGCTGTGGTGCAGACTTACCCCCCCGTTCTGTCGTCTCTGCTGCTGGCGCGGACGGCTCACAGTGCTCACCCCCGTCTGGCTGTGTGGATGCTGGCGCCGGGCAACAGCATCAGCAACAGCATCTACGCTGCCTCCATGACATCACCATGGAGACGCCTCATTGGTCCATGGCTCTGCCAGCATCGAGACCTCTCAGCCAATAGGAGCAGGACAAAACGATGGTGGGGGAGGGGTGGTGCTGTTTGTGTTGCACTGCAGGGTGGGTGGTAGAGTTTCATTACATGCTGCAGGAGGGTGAGACTGTGCACGTGCATGTATGTGGTACGGGGGGGACTCATCTAAAAGACAGACTCTGAATTATTGACTGTAAATGAGAGAACAAGATGAAATCCTTTTTATGTTTTGTCTTGTACCAAAACTTGAGCTAAAACAAAAACTACCTGAACTTCTAATAAAGTATAAAATCATATTTTTCCATCACACGACATGTCCACGAGGTCTATCTGCATCGGTGAAGGTGGGGCGGAGCAGGGAAGGGGGGGAGAGCTTAGCATTTCCATATGGACCGGCTCTGAAACGTAAAATGAATTTGAAGCTGAGTTTTTGAAAAATCCATCAAACTTTGTATGTTCTTAGTCATTGAACATGGGAAAAGTATAATTTATGGAACATCCACACAACGACATGAATGTGCTGGGCAGGTCATCCAGTAGCTCCGCTGACCAATCAACGGCTGCTGTCTGCTTAACATCAGAATTGTAGTGAACTAGGCCTCCGACATCAATCTGTCTCTGAGGACCTTCAGGGGACAGGAACTGTTATTTCATTGATTTGAATCCAGAAATACAAATTATCTCATCAAGAGACTATTTCATTGTATCCTGAATTAATCAATTGAAAGAACACTCTTCTTTTACATTATCATTACTATTTTACAATATCTTGATAATCAAAAGTGTGTTTAGTTCATACCATTGTCTAAATCTCATTTAAATCAACTGTGAAACAGTATTAATGATTTTTAAACCTCATTAGACTTTGATCATACAGTTAAATGTCTATTTACGAAGTAAGTGTGCATTTAGTCTTCTGTCTGAATGAGGAGTAGTGGATGTCGGTCGAAAGTCAGAGACAAGTTATGAGGACGAAGTGTCTTGTTTTTAAAACTATCAGACAGTAAATAAGAACTGCTGGCACCTGCATCCTCTCATTTCTTAAAAACATTTCTCCGTCTGTACTAACCATTCTTAAACATTCCTGCTGTCTCCTGACTTCTAGTGACCCTCTAACATCACTAGAACTACACCCCTGCTGGTTGTTTCAACCAATCAGGAAGTACCAAGTGACAGGAAGTGGATACCCTTTAAAAGTCAACACTTCTTGGAACTATTCAGTCTTCCAAGTCTTCAGCGTCTTTAAAACTCTTCTATCTTGCCAGTAATTAATCTATATATCTTCAGAAATGTCTGTTGTTTTTATTAAGTAAAACATGCCGTTTTATTAATAAGAACCAGATCAGTCTAATCAAGTGTACGATATTTTGATGTTAAAATTTTGATTCTGTTAGTAAATGACCACATTTATTTTGATGGGTCAAAGAAAATTAACGTCTCATGTCACTGATGAAACCATCTATGCACAGTACCTCTGTCACATGGCGGTAAGTAGCTCGAAAAAGAGAGAACTCGTTATTTAAATATGACTGTAGTGAAGCTCTGAAGCTAACCTAGCCTTTAGAACACTACATCTGGTGGCCCGGACGGTCTCTAAAGAGCTTCTCCTGGCCCGCATGGTCTCTAAAAGAGATAATTTAGGACCCATCCTCCTCTTTGGACATTTTGTGGCCGTACGGATGTTTAAAGAGGTGTGAATTATATGTGACGGAGTCTGTGTTATTGTAGAATAACACTCATGTTGGCATGAAAAGGTCTGAGTTTTGGGCTTGGTACAGGCATAATTCATGCTTGTGGTGTTCAGAGAGCTGAAATCAATGTCAATGTGTCCCGTGTTAAAGCTGTAGAGTGTACATCTGTGTGTATAACGTGTAACTAAGCTGATGCTATGGAAAAAACGCTTTATTATGTTTAAACTGAAGCTGTAAGGGGGTTCTGTCTCTGACCCGGTTCTGTTCACTGGACTCGTTGAACGAGTGGTGTTTTAAATGGATAAAACGCGGTTTCAAAGCTGAGCGCCGTCTCAGACCACTGTTAAATGCTGATCCGTTACATTTTCAACAATAAATTGTGCATTTTGGAGGTTTAATGGGCGATTGTGACCGGACTTTTCAGGCTAACTGCTAGCTGGAATCACAAACTGTGATTGGTTGAAAACCGCTGTTTGGGTCGCTCTGATTCGCTGAGAAACTGGTGACGTATCTGTGTGTCCACTCCCTCTGATGTCAGATTGTAAAGCCCACCCCGTTGCTCACGTGTCTGTAAAGTCATGTGATCCCAGAAATGTATCTCGGTTCAACCGAGCCCTCCTCTGTGTTTAAAATGCTAAATGAAGCCTACCACTGTTCCCAAACTCATGTTTTCATGCAGATAGACGTGCTTGTTAAAGCGACGCCACGTTTAAGCTTTAAATCCATTCAGGAAGTGCTGATTTGACCGTGTTCGACCGTGTGCTATGTCTAGCTAACGGCTAACAACCGGATGTCAACAGAACAGAACGGTTCACAGGAAGTTGTCATAGACTTCTGCTGGTAAAAATAAGCTTACACCGCCACCTGCTGTTGAAAGAGGGGTATAACAGTTTTCCTGAAAGGAGGCTGCTCACTGCCTTTAATTAAAAATTTTTTTGTTAATCCGGCCTGGTTTATGAGTTACTGTTTTAATAGCGAATTTCTGGTATATAGAACTGCTTAAAAAGCATTTGAAAACTAAAGTTGCTGTGAGACTTAGAAAAATTGCAGGTTTATTTAATTTTAAGTGCTTTGGGGTAAATGAACACTGAAATAGCCTGGCTCTTGTATCTGTTACAAAATAAGCACATTAATTAACTAGTTAAGAAAGCATTTACTTAGAATATTCATGCATTGGGGTAAAACCTACAAATAGGTGCCCATTCATTTGAAGAAGTTGGCTTATAACAGTACTGTTGAGTGAACCCAGAGCTAAAATAGTGTGTGAAACTCACTGCTCACTTAAATACAAATATTTACCTGTTAAAAACTCTGAAGATGGCAACTCTTTCACCAGATAAGTGCTGAACAGTGAATAACCATGGCAGATGTGACAGAAAAGGATATTACTCCTTGTCAGGAGAAGGTCTGGTTGGAGAAAGCGTTAACGCTGCTCACAGAATCCTTATATCCATATGGTGAACAGGTGGACAGCATGAACTCAAAAGAGTTATTGGACGAGCTGAAGGATGTTGCAGAGGGTGTGACCTCTACAGCCAGAACAAAGTCAAGCTATGACCAGCTGGCTAATTTAGCACTCTTATTGAAGGCAACATTTTATAGGGATGCAAACAGAGCTGACGACCTTGCAATAAGGTTAAACAGCGAAACAGAGGAGTACCTCAAACTTGAGGCACAGTCTAAATTTGATCAGGAGACCTGTGCGAATGAGTTAAAACGTGAGAGAGAGCTCTCACAAGCTCAGCTGTCATTGCAAGCTCACTCATATGAGGAGAAGCTGAGGGAAAGAGAGACTAAGTACCAGGCACTGTTTTCAGAAATTGATGTTCTGCAGCGAAACTTGTAGCTCACATCAAGAGATCTGGACGAGTGCAGATTGGAAAAGGCGGCATTAGTACAACAAGGCGTGCGTTTACAAAGTGAATGTCATACATCACAGGAACGCTTAAAAGCCTGTGAGGCGAAACTAGCCGTAGCAACAAATGAGATTTCTGACGTGGGGCAAGGTTGTCTGGAACTCAAAGACGAACAAGGTCAGAGTCCAGGTCACCCACCACCACCTCAGAAGGATTTTGCTGCACCTCCTGCTCTTAATCCCATTCCGTCACCTCCACATGAGTCTAGCGACACACCTCCACGTGCCATTTTGGTTCTTACAATACCGGTAATACAGCCTTTGCTCCCAGTTTCAGATTTGTACAAAATTGCAAAATATGTCAATCGCTTTGAGCCAGGGCCGTTGGGTTCAACTGACACTAAGGCCTATCTGAACGACCTTGACTTCCAATTACGAAACTATCCCAACGCTACAGTTGAGGATAAAGTAGGTTTGATCAGGCTCACTTCATCCAGGACGGTGTTTTCCTTCATAGAGCGTCAACCTAATGCCACAAGAAAGGATTACCGCCTGTTATGTGCTGCTCTTATGAAAGAGTATTCCCCTTGCACGGGACCTGGCAGTTATCCAGCCGCCGACAAGGTCATGCAAGGTAAGAATGAGCACCCCAGGGCATATTATTCCTGGATTTTGCAGGCTTATTTTGGTTACAGGAACGAGGCCAACATGGAGGAAGAGGAACAGTTTAAGTACGTGCTCAGCAAAAATCTCCACCCTGACATAAGAATGTCAGTGCAAATGATGGCTAATTTCAAAGAGAAATCCGTCAGTGAGATAAAAATTTGTGCTGTGAATGTCTTTGAAGCACGTTCACAGGCCAAAACACCCATTGAGGTGTACCCAGGTGAGAGGATTCCTGCCCAGTCATTAGAATTGGAAGGGACGAGAGCTTCGATTCCCCCTCCCAAAAAAGGCGAGAGGAAATGAGGTTTCCCAGCAGCCAAACCACAACAGGTGAGTGCCCCCTGGTCCAGACAAGATCCTAAATGGTTTCCCAAGGAAACAGAGGATGAACGATCGTACCAGAAGGGGGGCGAATGCCCTAAGGGTAAAAAGTATGGCACCAAAAGTGACCCATACAACCAGGGATCCCACTGGGAACCGCAAAAGGGGGGTACTGTTTCCCCACCATCTCAGGCTGAACAGCCTGAGATGAAAAAGAAACAGCAGCAGGTCCAGAAAAAGAACCCCAGTCCTCTGTGCTCGGACGAGACAGACAGGGTACATCGGTTGTTGGACTTGTTAGAAGGTGTTGCCACGGACAAACGACCTAACGCTTTGTTTGGCAATATCTTTGCTGATAAGTCAGAACACACAGACAACGCTGTTACTGCTGTCACAGACAGTCACCATGAC